AATGGGCTAAGTCCTTATACAAGGTTGGGTTGTATGATGCTTACCGATGACAATGTTAACGGGTACTTTAAGCAGGTTAATGCGTCCTAAATCCAAACTTTGTTGCACTACCCTTCTCCTGACAATACCCAGATTTCAATCTTATTGGACATTCCTCTGGAGAATATGAAAAAAATATTCGATATATCGCTCATGGGTTGCAATAGCGGCACAACTCAAAAAATCATGTTTTGAGATAAGTGGGTTTAAAGTTTTCATTGCTAAGAAAAATGCATAAGAAATGCTTTAGTTTGCTTTAACGAGGATTACTTTCAAGTTGAATTATAAGTTGTGCAAGCATTGCTGCTGAAAAGAATGTGTATTTTCATATTTACCCCTGTTCTTAGTCCAAAACGCGAGTTTTTTTAGTTGTGCCACTATTGCAGCCCATGAGCGACATAGTTCCACTACCATATAGTCTCACGCTGTTGAAAATTATTAACTAGATGATACGACCATAATATTTAAACGAAAGAATCAAGGCTGATAAAAGTTGCCTAAATGAAAGATTGAGAAGATAATAATAAAGTAGAGGCTCAGTGACGAGCTTTTTACTCTAATATTTCTTAAACATTTGACTAAGTGACACCATTTATATCTCTTACAAAGACTTTATTAATTCCATTTATAAATCTTATCCGACAATGAACCATATTATACCCTTTACACATAAAAGCTGTATGCTTTCTTGCAATCCAAAAATCAGATCCTCTAATCATCTTAAATTCACAAATGCTCCAAACTAAATTAATAGTTAATCTTTGAAGATAAACTTATGTTTATAAAGACTATGATATTAATTGGTACCTAATGTATTAAAATAGGTTAATCATCCAAATTATAACAAATTGCCTCTCTTTAGTGAAGATGGTTCTACAATTAAGAGCAATGAACTTTAAGGGCTATTTATGGAAAGCTCTGTCGTCACATTAAATAACATGATATTGCGTATAATATGCTACTTTTTTGAGTTTGTAACAGTTACTTATGGCTGTTAGGTTAAGTTTTGGCTGTAAGCCGGCGTCCTCTGCGCTAATTATGAGAATGGGCAAAATGTCAATATAGATTTTTACGGAAATGAAATAATTTGTGATCGAATTTTTTATTGTTTTAAAAGGTACTCCTACCTTGTCTGTATTTGTAAAATTTTGATGAAACTGAGATTCGTCTAGGTAGAACTCATTTAGAATTGTTGAATAGAGTGTTATGGTAAAGACAAAGAGGTGAAGAACCATTCTCATCTGGGTGGAAAATTATCACCAAATGGACGATTTTGAAAGAGTTTGATAATTTTTTTTAGAACATTTAATCCATTTGTCCGTTCTAAAGCTTAGACAATTAGGCACCTGCAACTCGAAAATAAGTGAATTAATTATGCTTAACAATGTTATTTAAAACAGATTTAATTGGATTCCTGTAAGCGACGTCAAGCGTGTGTGTCACGCCTGATTGGCTTCTGAATCGACAAATGCCACGATTTACCTACGATGACGTACGTCACTTGCAGGTATTCAGTTCTACATGTAGTTTATTAAAGTTTGATGATATACGCGGATGGTATACGTAGTTTACTAAAGTTTTGCTTTAAAATTGCGGCAATCAAATTGTGGCTTTTTAATTTTTCTCGGCGAAAAAATTTCGAAAATCAAACTTATTAACAAGAAACATAAGACTAAGAATTATAAGCCCAACACTTGCATTATGAGCAGCATAAACCACAAAACCATGTTATAAAATACTGCAGGAAAGCGTTGTTTTCAACACTGTCCTTAATGTCTTTTTATTTTGTATTATTTCTTGAAATGTAAACTACATTCATCTTATTTATATTGAAAAGATACGTGCATCTATTTAAATCTTGCCACGTTAAAAAAAACTATGGAATTGAATGTTACCTGCTCTAATTTTATATCGTGAACATAAAAAAATTTCATTAATTAAAATACTTGACAAGCAGAGTCTTTTGCTAAATGTACCATATTGCCACTTCATGATCACCCCGTCAATAATTAATTTCAGCATCTTTTGTCTTCATTATAATCTCAGTTCTTCATGGTAAGAGTTTTACGAGATGGGTCATCTGTAGCATCTAAACATAACTTTTCTCTAATTGTATGAGTCTGGGTGGTTGTGGATCCAGTTATTGGAATGCTTCTCAAACTTCTCCAAACTAACAGTATAACATCCTTACTTTCCCTTTTCTTTGATATCAATTATGAAAGATAGCTATGTATTTAATTTATGAACCTTTATGTTGTTTATAAATAAACTTAGATTCTATTAACTATAATCTCCACTGAATTTTTCACAATTTCTGAACTCGGTTTTTGTTATCGAACAGCACACAAAAGAAAATAACCTACGAAATAAATGCTTTAAATCTTAATTATTTTTCTATGAGCTGCATAAAGACTGTCATTAACGGTTCATTAATATTTTTTCGCTGGAAACTACAAAATTTAAGTTTTTGATTTGACGTTCTTTCAGTGAGAGTAGATACAAGAAGAGAGACCATTTGTTTCTACATAATTTAGAACCTTTTTGAAGAGAATTATTGTATAACAGCATTTCTAATTTCTCTAAACGGGAAAAATTTGTGGAAAACAAAACTTTGGGGAAAAACTGGAATAAAATGCTGTTTACTGGAATAGTTTGAGGCTATAAAATTTTACCACCTCTGCTTTTGGTTCGCATTAATATTGAAGTAATTAAGTGTATATTTTCATATACTTTATCTAAATGGTGCTCATTTCAACTTATGCGTATGATTTTGTGTGACAGTTTATTATCTGTGTTTTACAGGTGTCTCAATTTAATGTCCTCTCAGGTAAGTAGCTACAAATAGCAGGCAGTTAGGGGCCGTTTTCATAGATAGCCGGGAAAGTAATTCATCGTCTGCTGAAAAGTCTGAAGTTAGGTTTTTTTTTATGTGGCAGCGCCGCAGAGCACATTAAGATAGCAATGGCTAGAAAGGGGAGGGGGAACATTTTGTACTATCTTCGGATGATAAAACTTCCCTGTTATTTGCTGTGTAAAAACCAAAACACCTATTTCGTTCACGAGTTTGATTGAATAGCTTCCGTTGCGTCACTTCCGGCCTTATCAGTTCTCCGCTACTTTTTGACAAGAGGTGGCGGTAGCTAATGACTGATGGCTGCCATTGCCAAACCGACAATTAAAAATACAGTGGATTGAAAAATCATTGTGAGGTGCGACGTTCTTTCTATTGTATGATTTCCCGGAGCCTGGGTTATTTTTCTTAATGGTCTTATGCCCCCAAATTACCTCAATTACCAGATGGGGAGGGACGGGATAACTTTGCTATTTTACGATGAAAACGATATCCCACTACCTATAATCGATTATTTTACTTACTTTGCAGACGATTTTGCTTGGTCGGAAAAGAATAAAAAGTTTTACCGTTTATAATAAAGGTGTTTCTAATTGTTCTAACGAGTCAAAGAATTACTTTTGCTCTGAATCCTGATCAATATTGGAAAAGGAATTTTAAGGCTAGAAATTACCGATGACAATGAGAAGATTTTCGCCAAATAGTGCACGGCTCTACTTATTCTTTTTACGCCGAAGACATTGATCAATTCACTTCATTCAGGAGGAAGGAGAAAACTTTGTGAAATGGAAACAATCATTTTTACAAGTTATAATATTTATATTCAGACGCGTTTAAAGTAGATTTTTAACGATACGATAAAACTTTTTTTTTAAACGAAACTTAACAATTTTTTTTTAAAATTCTTATCGAAACGAAAATCAGCAATAAATTTAGAATTGAAAAAATTAAAGGTAAAACAAGCTAGCTGTTAGCCAAGGTGAAGCATGCAAATTAAATACTTTAAATTATTAAAAAATTTGTATACCTAAAACAATATTTGTGAATTTACAATTTTAGAGCATGGGACAATAACTTACAATAAATTAGAAAAACTTTTCTGGCGAAAAACATGGCAGTTTACAATTTTATAATATGCTTCTGTGCATTGCAGTGTTATCTACTAGCAATTTCAAAAACTTGTATAGTATAAATTTAGAATTAATAATAAGGAAGAGTTTGATATAAAAATATCACTTTTTGAAAAGTGTGGCTTGTTTTCATAATTGTATTCCTAATAAAAAGGGAAATGGATCTTAGATAAAATTTTGAAGCTTGTAAAAATTTTTAAGAAAAAGGCATTTAAGGAACTTTTATGTAACATTGAAAATAACTTGATTATCTGTACGATTATAAAGAAACTCGGTGGCTGACTGGTAGCGCTGCCGTGCCACCGGTCCTGGGTTCGATCTTCTGGCCGGGCAAGGTTGACTCAGCCTTTCATCCCTTCAGTGGGTTTATAAATGAGTACCAAGCATGCTTGGGAACTAAACACTGGGGGTTCCGAGTTCGGCTGACCACCTAGCAGGAATATCTGCTCTTGCACCCCAGAACCCAAGGGCAAGAAAACTGAGATGGACACAGTATGCCTTGGCCCTGTGTGAGCTGTCGCGCCACTGAGTTTAGTTTTCTTTAGTACGATTATAAAATATAATTGTAATAAATAATTTCTGCTGTATCAAGGAGATGAGGAAGAAAAATAAGTTTTATAGAGCAATAAACCTTGCTAACGCAATTTGAAGAATTCAGTGTAGGTCAATGTAACATTTTTAATCAGAGAAATTCTGTACATGGCACTCCATTAGGTCTTAAAAATACAGATATAATTTCTAGAACATGTGAATGAATAAATTGGATACAATAAGATTAAATACTTGATGAACTTACCCTACAGTGTCCTTAGGAAATAGCACTACACATAAATTTAAGATACCAGTATGTTTGAATGAATGTTTTGAATCATTCTGATTAAGAATTCAAATCTTTTATTTTTGCTTTAGTATTCGGTTCATTAAAAACTGAAATACTTTGCATTGACTTAATACAATATTTCAATCAAAAATAATTTAATCAAACAATAAGTTTATCAGAAATTTAAGATACAAGAAAAGTCTTAATCTCAATAAAATTTATCATACAAACATTTAGCAATTTGAATCATTCTCTTTCATGTATGTTGTTCTATAACTTTCTTTTGGATGGTGTGTTCTTCGATTTGGAAGGTTTTGCATTCTTTGGACTTCTGTAGACAGCACCACTGCGTGTTTTGCTCTCACTAAAGTTGATGCCAACACTGCTAAACACTTTTCCACTGCGAGTTTTACATTCAACAATTTGCTTCTTGGAACATATTGCAGAAATATTTACCTAAACAAAATTAATGCATCACATTAAAATTTTTGAAAAAAAATCTTGTTAGCTGCTCCTCCTTAAAAGGTGCTTTGATGCATATCAAACGGGAATTATTAAGAAAGAAATAAAGATGAACTGATCTATATTAAAATGAGACAAAGATAAAATAACAAAAAAAACTCACCTATTTTTGACTGAAATTCTATGAATTTCATAATAATACTTAAATATAACCACACAATACACCTTTCCTTTTTGACTTTCAATCATGATTCATTAAAATCTCATATGTTGGTATTATTGATCAATTTTACAAAACCGATAAAAAAAAATATGAAGAGGCACCCCACGTGCAACGTAATCTCGACATCTTGTTTCCTTTTGCAAGAAAGCCAAAAAATGGGTCACTCCTTCCTCGCGGCTTCAGAATCATGGAAAAATGTCTATAAAAGCATTAGAACAACAAAACGTCTACCTACCCTGACGGTTGAGCAAGAGACACTGACAACTCCACTTCAAGTTGTAGTTAGTTCAAGTTTAGGGAAAACTAGTCTGTTGCCAATCAAAATAAGGTATACTGATGGTGAAAATGCAGTTAATACTCGTGACGTCACTTCTTCAGTCTTAATGTTAAGGCTCCTATACTATCAGAGCTGACCTATCAAGCAATATTGGAGCAAAAAAGGAGCATTGCAATCAGAGTTTTAGCCCCAAGGACTTTCATTAAGTTAACATAGGTACGAGTAGATACTTTATTTACGTCGAACTAGAGTTGCACAATGGGCTACTGGCAATGGACTGGGAAACATCCCTGAAGATGATCCGGAGACATACCATCGAAATTTCGATCCTCTGCAGAGATGACCCTCCTGCTTTGGTAGTCCGACGACCTGAGCACAAAGTCGAGCACTTTACGGTAAAACAGTTTAACGAGGACCGATACAGCTCACCTCGGTCTCTACGCAGGCTGATCAAAGTGGTCACCCACCCGCTTACTGACCGCCGCCAATGATGCTTAGGTGTTCTACTGGGAACCGTGTCTTTACTATCAGTCCACTGCGTAACGAGCGTTCATTAAAGATTGTGATGTTAAACATAGTTTAATAATGCTTGGAATTGTCTTGACAGAAAACGCATCTAAGTGCTCCATTGTGAATTTTAAATGTTGGACCCTTCACAGTTCACTGCTTGTGTGAAGGGCTGAGTGCTCCAACTTTTTCTTAGTTTTTGTTTCCTAACTGAAGAACTTGTGACAATAGGGTTTTCTAAATGTTATCTTTTTACATCAGACTGTCCCTTAGTATAGTTTAGACAGGCACTTTGCAAGTTCTAGGAACTTTGGAAACATGGACAGCAAAGTGGTCGACCACCTGCACTTAATGACTGAGACGGCCGACGTGTACATAAAATTGTCAGGGTAAAAGACAAATAATTTCACGTGAAATAACAGCAGGTAGTAAGGCGGAACATGAAACGAACGCGTCCATTATAACAGTGCAACAAAATTTGGCTGTAATGGGATATGGCAGCAGAAAGCCGACTTGAGTGCTTTAACTAACAGCACGACATCTTGTCCAATGCCTCTCCTGGGCACGTGACCATTTTGGTTGAACCCTAGACAACTGGAAAACAGTAGCTTGGACAGATGAGTCACAATTACAGCTGGTCAGAGCTGATGGGAGTGTTCGATTGCGGCACAGGCACCACGAATTAATGAACCCAAGTTGTAAACAAAGCACTATGCAGTCTGTTGGTGGCTCTATAATGATATGGGCTGCTTTTTGACGACTTGGACTGCATCCAATGGTTTGATTTCACCAATCATTGACTAGAAATGGTTTTATTCAACTGCTTGGAGACCACTTGCAGCCGTTCACTGATGTCATGTACCCAAACAACGATGGAACTTTTATGGATGACAAGGCGCCATGTCACCGGGCCTTAATTGTTCTAACTTGAAGAACATTCTGGACAATTTCAGTGAATGATTTGGCCACCTAGATCGTCCGGCATGAATTCCATCGAACTTTTATGTGATATAATCAAAATGTCAATTCGTGGACAAGATCCTACACCCGCAACACATCTATTGAGGCTGTAAGGCTAAATATTCCAGCAAGAGACTTCCAACTTCTTGTTATCAAGTCTAGTTGCAACAGTTCGTTGAGTTAAAGGAAGTCCAACACTATATTAAAAAGTATCCCATGACTTTCTCCCCCCAGCCTATTACAACAGCGCCTATTACCACAACACTAGTAGTACCTAACATACAAATATAATTACCTAATATAGTAATAGTAATAGGGATTTATGACCCCCCATTAAGCAGTTGAGGAATAATATTTTGTACCAAAATTTACTTTTTACGTGAATTTACTGTCACCCTGAATATAATGTTATTACTGCAAGATGAAACTTTACTTTTGTTATTTTTTAATTCACTACAGATTTCATCATTGAAGATAATGTCTGACCAGATATTAGAGAATTCCGTTCCGAGGATTTCTACTTACTTCATCCTTTTGATCAGAGTTGTCTTGAATATCCACATTTTGATTATCACCATTAAAACTTATGCCTGCACTCTGCAAATCTAAATGCACAAGGTGAAGATCATTCAGATTTGCCTCCCTTGAACCTGATATCTGCCTGATTTTATTTAATGGGTCTTCTAAAGGCACAAAGCAATCACCATTCTGATTCTGTATAGAAGCATTCTGAAGGCCGGCGCCATTCCATCTGAAGGAAACAACAAATATCGTATGAATCGATATCGTAATATCATTCTTTCGACTCGTTTAACTCAATTTATACAGGGGGGCTCCAAGGTTAAGTTAAAGTGGGAAATTACGAACAGGATGTTGCAAATTTTTGTAACGCGTTGGAATGTCCTCTTTGAAGTAGAAGTTTACTTGAAAAATAAATCGACAAGTGCCATCCAGATTTGTTTTACTACCAGTATAATGTATATGTATTTGTTGAAAATTGTATATGTTTTGGGGGGGGGGGTNCCTTCCTCATTTAATATCACGTGATTCAGCGTCACCACCTCTCTTAAAAAATGAACTGAAAGTGTTCCCTCTGTAAACGAATGACCGAACCAAGTCGATTTGTAATGTTTTCAGTTTGATTTATGAATGGAGAACTGTCTGGTCATTGCTCTTTTGCAAAAGAATATAAGATCGGACGAAGCTCATTTACAACCCTGTTTTGATTAATTGCCAACACTCATATAAATAAGTAGGCAATCACGGTGAATTTAAAAGGTGTCTAGGGTGTTCTGATTTTGGTCATCCTGCTTCGTGCTCTTTAAGTTGAAGTTTAAGGGCACGTAAAGAATTCACTTCGACTCAAGGATCTCGAAAGATATGTCTAAACTCAGAACAGTAACTGATCTTCGGACGCTCTGCATAGTTGGAATTCTAATCAGAAATTTGAGTTTTCAACTGTTAAAATTACCGAACTTGATTTTTGGGAAGAGATTCCATACTTTGAAAAATTCTTATAATTTAGCTAATGATCTTTCCAGCATTCTACCATTTCCCAATATTTGATAGTCTATTCAAATTTAATCTGTTGGACACTGAGGTTCTTGTCAAATCCTCTCAAGTCTGTTTCTTGTCTTTCTTTTTAATTGCCTTATTCAAACTTGTTACTCTGTCTCTATTGGTTAAACAACTTAGCACGTGTTTGTCTGTTTACTTCCCTCCCATCTCTTGGTGTTTAGACACTGAGGAAGACTCTTGTTTATAGAATGTCTATTTCTGTACTTTCATTTGTGCTTTATTCATGATTTTTTTTAGTCTGCATAGAATACAAATATACCCTAAATACAAAATATACCCTATCCTTTTTATATAATCTCTATAATACTTTATAATTTTTAACTCAATTTCTTAATTTAAAACTTTTAAAACCGTTAAACTCTGATGTGCATGACTTCAATCTCACCCTGTACCATATAATGTGCAATGATTTGAAAACTATTCAGTCTGTTTTTTTTTTTTTTTTTTTTTTTTTTTTTTTTTTTTTTTCGAGCTGTAAATACCAGAATTAATGTCAACACCATCTCTAAACAAAAGTAAATAAGTTGATTTTGCGCGAATAGAATCAGATACTATCTATACAAATCTTCCTTTATTAAAAGAAATTGGATCAAACAAAACTTTCAAAAGATTCTGGAATTATAAATTCACAAATACAACTAACAACGCATGCTTTCATTAAAATACCTAAAAAAGAACAAAAATTAAACTTTTAGGCTCATTTCTTAAAATTAATTCAAATGTCCTCAGAACTTTTTTCCCCTAAGCTCTTTAATTATTGTGCTAAAATTATTGTGATATACTAAGAAAAGCTATCATTCGGCGTTACTATTATACATAGCAGCAAATATGCACAAAATATCGTGAGACGCAAACATCTGGACAGAAACTTACCCGGACAAAATATCATGGTATAAGATCTCCTGTGAACCAAACAGTTTGTGTCAGAATATCACAAGAATTAAATATCGTGGGATTTAATATCACATGGCCCAAATAGCGTTAGACTTATTATTTTATGTCGTTGTTATTTTATTCTTGTTATTTTATATCGTTAGACTTAATATCACATAGTTCAAACATAGTGAGACTTAATAAAAAATGGACTAAATACCATTTGGTAGAATATTGCATGGAAAAAATATCACACATATATGTCCATTGCAGATAAATCGCTAACGGGATAACACATTTTTAATATAAACTATTAATTGGAAAAAATGGGTATTTATCACTTAAAGGAGGCAGTAAAAAATTACCGTACTATTATCGGCGCCAGTATTTATTAATTAACTGTGGTGGTAGGTAAAACTTGTATTGTTTTAATAAATAATATATGCTGGTGTAATAGGTTCGTAATACTTTAATATAGTTACATAATGTAAGTACGTATTCTAAGTGCTGCGATAATAAATTTTACACAGCCGGTTTTACGGAAAAGTACCGAAAAATGCTTACTATACAGAGGAGAATGAGTTTACTGTAACAAAGAAAAATGCTTACCTATATGAGCATACATAAGTCAAAAATTTTAAGCCATCGTTATAAATTACTAACAACATCAAGAGTGTTAACATGTATGTAAGCGATGTTTTGAAGCTTTCAAGTTTGAGGATATTTGATTCAAACCAGTTGAAAACAATATAAGAAGAACCAACCTAGAGATACAAATATATAAATTTTTATATGCTTCAAACAAAAATTTGTGATAATAGGGAGATTTCGCAAAGTTACGTTAAGCTCTCTTTCTGTTAGCTCTCTTTCGTAAGATTTCAAGTAATTGCGTCAGTTCAGGATGAACTGCGCATGCGCCGGTAAAAAAATATCAAACTTACGTAAGAGAAAATAAGAGATTTTGCAAAATCTACAAGTTACAAAGGATGACGTAGTGGAATATCATTTTAACTTTGATCACAAAATCAAAACAATCATTTACAGTAAACGTAAACTATCTCTGGAACTTACGTATTAACGCCACCGCAGCTATAGATTTGGCGGCTTTTAAGTGCTGCCAATCTACAACTAAAATTTTTGCGACAAATCAAAAAATAAAACACTTTATTTAAAATCCAAGCATTAAATCGGATTTCGGTGGAAAATAAGCTGATATAGAGTTAAACATAGATTCAAAACAGTCTTTGTTTTCCTTCACCTGATGCTGTCGCCGTATGAGCTCTGATGAATAAGATTCCAAATAATGTCTCGCTGTCCCCCTATGTCTCTTGTTCCTCCATTTAGCACTTCCCACATTCTCTCAACTGTTTGTGTATGAACTCCTGTATCAGGATCAATAAAATTGTATTTATGATTAACTTTACCATGTAGGAATCCTTCTATTTCCATTCTCTTAGTTTGGTAACATTTCCAATTCTCAGAATAAATTGTACTACCATTTGCAATGTTTTCAATAATTTTATCAAGAAGGGTAGAGCCAGTTCTATTAGGACAACAAACGAATCTTTTGTTTCTCTAGCAAACGCCCACTGTTCGGGTAATACTCAACCACATTACGATTAGTAAACAAACTTTCAACCTTCTTGTTTGGTTTATTCACCATATCCAAGACACATAATTCAAGCATGTAATTGCTCCAATCTATAACAGTTTTATCCGATAAATTAAGTTGTTTTCCACAAAATTTAATCGACATTAACTCCTCGCAATAGCAGTATATGAATCTCTAAGCTGAACAAAATGGAATTCTGCTTCCCTCAAACCAGTTTTCTTTTCTAAGTCCTACTTGCTGATCACACTGTCTTAAATTACATTTCCAAAACGTACATTTGCCAAAATAAAGTTTCATGTCATGGGAATTGGCACATTTTCATTTTTTTTTTCCTTTTTCGGTAAAATATTTCCCTCCTGAAGAAATAAAATTGCATCTTGTTTTGTTTTTGGCAAATCCCAGAGACGAATTTTCGTAGCGCTAAAAATGTCGCCAAAAATCAGCAAACAACAAGGCATCCAATAGATAACTGCGTGCGAACAATGGGTTGCTCTTTATTGGCTTCTACTGCGCTGGCGTTAGTACGTAAGTTCCCTATCTCTTTAAAGCTTTGGAGTACGATTGAAGATGCCTCAATGACTGCGGTTCTATGAGCAAAAAAATTTGGTAGATCATAGATTTTGTTAAATTAAACGATAAAGAATCCAGCTTATTATTATTATTATTAATAATACTATTTAAAAACATATATTATTGAACTTAATTATTTAACTTCTTTTAACTAAATTGGACATTTAAAATAAATATAATTTATAACTTTAAGATGGCGAAAATATATCTAGTTCCTCTTGGAGCTAGTGCAATTAGGCAACCATAGTATTAAACAATAATATCATTTTTTTACTGAATCAACCAATTGTAATATCACACGATTCATTTCTAAATTTCATCAATACCAAATTCCCATTCCATGTCTATGTAAACAAAACGAAATCAAGACTATCTTAAACAAAAACAACATTTAACATCTATAAACAGTGTGCTTGCAGCTTTGCTTTGTAGCGTAAATCACGCCAGCATAATGTAAAGATAAGTTGCATCCAAAATAAACTCGAAGGGCGCTGGGCCCATGTCCAAGAGGTCGTGGGTTCGATCCTCGCCGGCCGAAGACTCCCCGTGTAGTAAATGGTGACTGATGTACGTTAAATCTGTCGAGTCTCAAAGTCCTCCATGTTCCCACAACAAATCAATACCTCTGGGGGTGCTGATCCAGAAGTTTCCTTGTCTTCCGGATTGGTTCAAAATTACAAGGCTACGGAGTTGAACGTAAGTAGTCGTAAACCCATGAAATTGGGTAGGCTGTTCAACGACGGTTATAAAATAAAAAATCTTACGTACGGAAGCTGGCATAAAAATGCGAAATCTCTCTAATAGTTGCGTAAATTCGTGTAAGCTGGGTACCACACGAAAATCCATGTCAGATCGGGAGAATAAATGATATCACAGTCTTTTGGAAACAACAAAACAGTAGCACATGAGAAACTGAAGCAAAAAAGAAAGAAAGGGGTACATTCAAAAGGTAAAATTCATTGTCACTTCTAGGTAAGCCACAGTACTTTTTAAAAAAAATTATTGGGTATTTTTTCGCTAACCGGGCGCAAGCAAAAAATCGCCAAATAATGCAGAATTCCGCCAATTACAGCTATAAGGGGACTGTTAGTTCGGGGCCATTTGGAGTCGTGCCTAGCTGAATTTGAGTGGAGACGAGGAGTAAACGATCCATTTGAGCAAATTCTCAAGAACATCACCGTATTCTGGAAAAACAAATTATTATAAGCATTCTTTTTAGGTAAAACTGTTTTGTTTACAATTCATTAATATTTGTTTACAGTTGAACTTGTATTGTTTACTATTAATAAATATTTGTTTATAGTTGATTTTTTTTTTACTTTTATTCCGCTAACTGTTTTGTCATTCGCTTCGCTTGGCGACTGGGCTCGCGTTTGGTTCATAATTGGCAACATTTACTCCCGACTTACAAAAAAAGTACCATTTATTTTTTGTACAAGAACCGGGCTGTGTTACTTTGATGCTTTGGCGATTGTAGTTGGTGTGATCGGAATTCAGTACGACAATGTCACCCAAAAAGAGTCCATCAGGATCAAACATCTTGGCATCCAGTAAGATTCTAGATTTTTTATTGCAGTATGAAAGAGATGGCGAGTTGCTTCTGCGTAACTCAGTGAAAAGATTAACATCCATATCGGAAAAAGTCCAATGCACATCCAAGTCCAATACACGTATTAATAAAGTTGTTAGAGTAGCAAATATAAATATGAAACAATTGGAAGACTGGAGGGTAATAGAATCAGTCACATTTTCTAATTGCTTAAAAGAGTAATTGTTGTGTAAGGTAGGTTGTGGCTAAAATCACCACGATTTCCTAGTACGAAAGTAAACTTTCTGAAAATTTTCCTACCTTGGGAAATTTCCCGAAATGTCCTGAAGCAAATTTTTGTTAATCAGTTTCCCAGTTACCTGACATTTGGGAAATTTCTAGTGTAAATACTGAAAACTTAACAATCTGAGGAAAGAGCTTCGAATAAAAATTTCCCAGTGGTTAAAATGTAACTTATCCCTATATTTCTCGAAAGCCTTTAATTATTGTAATTCAAAAATTTATTTATCTATATTCTTCATATTGGAGGCTATGAAGTAAGTTTACAATGTACACACGGGACTTGATTTTATCAACGAAATCAGCGTTTACTTACGTAAAGAACTGTTTCGTTTAGCTTTTCATCTTGTTTTTTCACTAGTTTCACGAATGTTGTAAATTTTAGAATTGCAGTTGTTAACAAAAACGTGAAAAAAGTTTTTATAACTCCATTCATAATCATCAAAATGAGAGGGAAATAATTATTAAAGCCTGACATTAATAAGAAATTAATATCACCATAGTCCTTGTATGCAGTCGGAAATTCAACGAAAATAAAAAAAGAAATTGTAATGAAAAACACTTTCATAAGAAAGTCGTCCCGGCTGTACAGGCTCCTGCTCTGCTCTGAAAAATAAAAAGATGGTTCGTTATATAAGGCCATATTTCATGCCTTGAAATTCTGAAATTTATTTGCGTTTCACCTAAAGTTTTAAAGCTATTGAGTTTGAAATTTACTTTATGACTTAACTATAGAAAAATCTACTTTTGTCAGCCTCTTTTTTTTGCTATGAATCATTTTAAAGAATAATTTTTTATCATATGACCTAATCTTTGTAATAATTGGGGAAGAAGAAGATCACATATAACCACATATGTGAACTATGACGTCAGCGCCAGGTGATCGCTTACAAGCAAAATTGCGTGTTAAAGTGAGTTAAATTTCTTCACATAAGTTATAATGTTAATTAACGTGAAGTTAATTAAATACAGTAGAGTATCGAATATCGAATTAATTGAAATGTAAATCTTTTTCCTCTACATCTGTTACCTAACTTAGATTTATTATTTGTTCATGTATTTTATTATAATCATGACCTATTTTTGATTTGTATGCATGGCAACTTCGATGCATAATTTGTTTTGTTATGTTCCACGTGGCCTTGTGCTTGTCTTTGTTTAAAGTTAGAAGTAAATAAAGAAAGAATTGAAATCTTTGTGAAAAAAAATCTTTGTGTACGAATATAGAATGTATCACTTAAGAGAATTGATGCTTGACGGGCTTGACTTACTCAGAATGGAAAAAAAAGTTGCTAACAAAAACAAATGCCACGTTTCAACAACCAATCAGGATCGAAATACCCCCACTACGTCACTTGCAGGCATCCCATTAATGAGCAATTGGATACCTGCAAGTGACGTCATGCATGGGTGTCGAACCTGATTGGCTGCTGACGATTCAACAGTCAATCAGGTTCGACACCCATGCGAGACATCGCTTGCAGGTACCTAATTAACTTAAATCGGAAAACTGATTCGGCGTGATAGTAAACCAAGTCTGATAGCTGTAACATTAACGCGCCGTCTTGTTTATGCACATCAAGCTAATTTCAGCGGCATTCTTCTTCTCGAATTGCAGGTACCCAATTAATAACTTTTAATAAAAGAAATTAATGTTTTATTTTACGAAATTAAACCGTTGGGTACTTGCAATCCGAAATGAGCCGTTGAAACCCTATGGTTGTGCCAAATTACACGTCTGTGCTGCTTTTGTTAACATTAACGCCTTTAGGCTTGCTTTAATATCATCCTGAATCAATTTTCGGATCAGATTTAATTGAATA